AAAAAAAAAAAAGGAATAGTGAAAATAGGAAAGAGCTCTAGGAATTAAAAAATAAGAAAACGAAATGACAGACTTAAGAGAAGGGTTAGAAAAGAAAATGGAATCTTTCATGCAGTGAAATGAGAAAACAAAGAGTTGGAAAATAGGAGAGAAAAAAGGATAATGAGAGGTGCACTCCATAGGGGCCAACTCTAGGACACAGGAGTTGCAGAAAGATGAGACAATAGGGAAAGGTGGTTGAAGAAATTATGAAAGCGGGCTTCCAGAATGGAAGGCTGAGATTTGCCAGGGCTCGCCAAGGGCCTGGCATTATGGGTGAAAACAGCCTGCAGTTCAGTCTACAGGCAGAGATCATGGGGACATTTCAGAAAAACTGGGTACAAAGAAAGGATCCTCCAAACTTCCAAAGAGAGAAGCAAAGCACAACAGAAAAAGCAAAATCGGATCCCATTCACAAAGTCAGAATCAGCAGCGGTGCCTGCGCTAGCAATGCTGGAGGCAGGAGGCCAAGGAACGGTGCCACCGCCACTGTGAAGGAGCACAGCCTCCCGTGGGAGTTCTGGTCCCTACAGCATATCAAGCAAGAGTAAGAACAGAATACAAGTACACCCAAAGGTTCAAAAGTTACTCCTTCATAGGAAGCTGCTGCAAGACATGCTCCTGAACAGAGAGGATAAAGCGAAAGGGAGGAAGATGAAGGATTCCAGAACCAGGAGACCCAACCCAGGAGACTGAGAGGAAAAGCGCCCCGCAGAGGATGGAGCCATGGGAGGCTGGGAGGTGTCCTCAGGGAGATGCCAGACAGGAGGTTCCAATGACTGGAGAAGGCCTGGGCTTGAATGAATGGTAAGGTCACAGAAAACCAGGCAAATGAAAAATCAGGACAAATGTTAACTCTAGGCAAAGGACAGGAAAACATAATCATGGTTTACTGCAGTTAATATGTGTCTTACCTCTAAGATATTAAAATAAGGGCTGGGATCTTTGCAAATATCAGTAAGCTGGCCTGACTTTCCATTTTGAAGGTATGCTGGAAGGTTCTGTGTCCTGGCAGTGAGAAGGGTCAATTCTGCACTCCCTGCCCCTGGTAGGATCTTTTGTGACCACTGGGATCCCAATCTGTGGTGCTCTAAGGGTGATACGTGCCTTTCTTCTTCCCAGAGCAAAGCACTTTGAAATCAAGAAGATCCTCGCCTATAGCTCAACCGGCTAAGGCGCCAGCCACGTACACCTAAGGTGGCGGGTTCGAATCCCCAGCCCGGACCCGCCAAACAACAATGACGGCTGCAACCAAAAAATAGCCGGGCGTTGTGGCGGGCGCCTGTGGTCCCAGCTACTTGGGAGGCGGAGGCAGGAGACTCGCTTAAGCCCAGGAGTTGGAGGTTGCTGTGAGCTGTAATGCCATGGCACTCTGCCCAGGGGGACAGCTTGAGGCTCTGTCTCAAAAAAAAAAAAGGAGATCCTCTATGTAAACATATCAGTATGAAAGCAGAGGAAATAGCTGCACATGCAGGGAAGCACACAGAAGGCCAGAAGATGCCAGACAAATGACCTTCTGAAAATGTGCCCAGCAGAGGAATTTTGGCACCTGTACTCCCAGCTCAGCCACTGCCTGACCCGCCTCACCCCACCCCAGACACGCCACCTACCACCTTAAAGGACCACAAGCCACACCTCCCTCTAGGGGAGTAAGAGGAGACTGAGAGTGGCCTTCCCAAGCAGCCGCTGTGCTCAGGGCCTCTGCTGAGCTCTTGGATCATCTCATTGCCTTTTTAAAAACAATTTTTTTGTTTTCTTTTAAAGACAGAGTCTTGCTTTGTCACTTTGGGTAGAGAGTGCAGTGGTATCATCATAGCTTACAGCAACCTCAAATTCCTGGGCTCAAGCGATCCTCCTGCCTTAGCCTCCTGAGTAGCTGGGACTATAGCTTCCTGCCACCAGGCCTGGCTGACTTTTTCTATTTTTAGTAGAGACAGGGTCTCCAATTTCTGAGCTCAATGGATCCTCCCACCTTGGCCTCCCAAAAATTACAGAAGCAAGCCCCTGCATCCATCCAGTCATCTCATTTCTGAACAAGAAATTCCATCCTACAAAGCCCCGCCTGGGTCCATTACACTGGATTCCTCCTCATGCTTGCTGCCTAGTCTCAGGTCCCTCTTAAAGGGGACACCAGAAACTGGTCACACAGGAAGGCACAGGGAAGGACAATGACTTTTCCCTGATTGGATTTTTCTGTGTGCAATGTGGTATTAGTATTTTGGGTATTGCTAGCAGTAACAGAGAAGAAAACACTGCCTTCTCACTCAAGCACAACCCCTGGAGTGTGTGTGGGGGAGGTGTCCTGTGGTCACAGAACAAGGTGGGTGTGTGTGAGTGTGTCCGGCAGGCTCACAGCATAAAAATAACCAAGCAGCCTTATTGATGGGTTATTATTACACCAGCATGTGCAGGGGCTTGCTCTGTGCTTTCCTGTCAGCTGCCCTTGGTCCTGGAAGCTGAGCTGGGCAGTATCGATCAGGCCGGCTCTCAGAAAGGTTTTCCTCTCTGAAGAGGTTTCAGCTTTTCGTCTGCAGCTATTTTTAGGGGCTCAGGCTCCACAGATGGGGCCTCTTTCAAATGATCCTATGCAGCCAGGCCTGGGAGGAACCCATGACGCTGCCCACACAGGGAGCACAGGCCAGGCCCTCTGACTAGGAAGCTGTCTGCGGTTGGGGACAGGGTTCTCTCCTGACAGTGAAGGGCACCAGGGCGGGCGTCATTCACAGTGCTCAGCGGGGAGGAGCCCCTGGAGCCTGCTTAGGCTATATGTTTTCTGGGTGTTTCTGGCCTGTTTTCTGGGTAACAAGGGGGAAGTTATGGGACCAGAAATCTCACCAAATGCAAGCCAGGCCTCTGAGTTAAACTGTGACCCCTCTGAAAATGCAAATTCGTGCTGGGTCCCTGCCAACACAGTGTGCATTAGTAGTTCCCTTGGCAGGGCAGAGCTGGATGGGAACTCTTCAAACAGAAAAGTTTGAGGACAGGGTGACAGGACAACAGGGCCAAATGCCTCTGACCTCACTGGCCAGGGCCAGCTATGTGCTGTCCACTCATTCCCCAAGTGATACACTGGACTGTTCCTACCCAGAATCACGTCTGGCCCTCTAGACAGCCCTGAGAGGCTGCAACCAGGGCAGGAAGATTCCTGGGCCCTATCCTGCCACGCAGACCTCAGGCAGGACACACGGGAGGAGTCAGTGGGGCCTACCTCAAAGCGGATGGCCCCGTTCCCATCAGCATCGAAGGCATTGAAGAGGAAGTGTGCATAGGTGGTGGCATCTGTGGAGAGCAAGGCAGGGGCTGGAGTGTGTTGGTCCCCTAGCCAGGCAGCGCCATACAGGGATTCCAGCTGAGGCCCCTCCTCCAACCAGAAAGAGGTAGCACCAGGCCCCTGGAACTCAAGGGATGGTGGGAGAGACCCCTCCCTCCACACAGGGATGGAGTGGGGGCTGCCGGGAAGCCAGGGGGGCTGGCCAGGGACTCACCTCCCTGGGGGAAGAACTGGGAGTAGATGAGTTTGAAGGTGTCTTCATCCACCAGGCCCGTGGGACACTCCTGCAGCAGGAAGTCACCCCCTCAGCAACCTCAGCCACCCCCATCTCCATGCCCTGACTCCATGGGGCCTGGTCTGTCACCCCTTTGTGGGGGATACCTCAGCTGGGGAAAGGCTGGGCAGGGTGGGCAAGAAGAAGGAGAGGGTAGGCAGGAAAGGTGTGGCTGGTCCCTCATGCCAAGCTGTCCCCCTACATCTCCTTCCCTGTACCAGCATTGGAGATGTAGAGAAGGGAGTGTGGTGGACCACACAGTACTGATTCTGGGGCCCACTCCAGCCCCCATACAGTTCTCCCAGAAAATGTAAGCCCCATTAAGGGCCCTGGGATATTTACTGTGCCATGGAGAAGTGTTTAGAAGGTCTCTCTGGATCTGGGTCCCCCTCCTGCCTGGAATCAGGGACAGGGAGGACTGAGTGGGTCAGGGTCTCAGGGCCTCTCCCAGGGGTAATGGGGCACTCACATTCTTGAAGCCCCTGTAGAGGGACTGCAGCTCCTTCTTGGTGAACTTGGTCTGTGCTTGCAGCTGGTCCAGCCCCTCTGGCTGGTGGCGCACTGTGGACAGCTCCAGCTCACTGTCGCTGCTGTCTGGAAGGGAACACCGACCCAGGAGGGTGAGGCATGTGGCCCTGCTCCTCTGTCCTGCTCCTGACAGGCATGGGCTGAAACCAGGTGGAATGACCCTCCTTGCACTGCACAAATGGAGGGGCCGTGACTGAATGGCACATTCAAGGGTCATGCCTCATGGCCCTTCTGCTTCCCTGCTCCCCACACAGGGATCCTCCCCACTCGCCTCACACTGGGGTGTCCCCTTCTCGGCCACATGGTGGGACAGGGTGGGAGCTGTTCTTGTCCTGGAGAGAATGAACAAGGCAAGACAGGAGGGGGGAAGACAGCAAGACAGGTGTGAAGGACCCATGAACTTCAAGACCAAATTCCTAGACCTCTGTGTGGCCCTCCTTGACCTCCCCCAGGAATGGGGAGGGTTCCCCTCTTGGCCCATCTAAAAGCCTAACACAATGCTGTTCAGCTACATTTGGGATAGGTGGTCACACCTCCAAACCTATAGGGCAGGGATCAGACCTTTCCTTTAAAAACAACACGCTGGAGGGTTAACCAAGGCTACCTTTGGGGGGGGGGGGAAGGCGGAGGGATTTCAAGTGATCTTTACTCTTTTATTCATGATTTTTTTTATGTTTTCCTAATTTATTTTTATATGACATGCATCACCTTTACAACATAAGCTAAACCTATGGACAAAGCAGCGTTGAGTACCCACACCTTGTGGGAGCAGCACGTTCACATTGTGGGAGAGTGGTCACCTTCCCACTGACTCAGACACAGAAGCCCTGCTGCACTGTCACTGCCAGCTCCCCTGGCCGAACAATGAGTCCATGATGGTCTGCACGGCCACAGCTTGCTGCTCCCTCTCCCACTGCAGGGGGACCTCTTCAGGGTAGCTGTCCTGCACTGCTCATCCTGTGCCTGAGGTGCTGGGCAGGGCCCTGTGCTGAGGCTGCTCCATGCCTGGGCCTCCCCCTTGAGCCTGGCAGGACAGACACTAAACTGCGAGAGCACCTGGAGAGCTGCTCAGCAATCAGGCTGCTTCCTTATCCACATATGCTCCCAGTCTCCAGAAGAACTACTTCATACCTTCCTTCTCTTTCTTTAAGTTTCCAGAATCTCCTTTCCCTATCCTTACCCTTTGGGTTGCTTTCTACTTCATTAAGAAGATGAGAGCCATGAAGATTTCCCTAGTTCTTTGCACCACACGTACCCATCCACCTGTACCTGGCCCAGGCATGGTTTTCCCTCCTCTGTGGGTGAACTGCCTCTGTTCCAGGGGAAGGCAAACTGCCTGTGCAGTGGGTCTTGACACCTCTCATCCACTCAAGCATGTGGCTTTAACAATTCTCCCCACTCTTTCTTCATTATCTTTTCCCCCTCCCTCTGGATGATTCCCATCAACAAATAGACATACTGATAAATCTGGCATTCTGTAGTCAAATTAAGTATAGGCAAACGCTGTAAGCCAGCAATCCCATTCTGGGTAAACATCTTCCCAGCTAAGGGGACCTGTACAAGGCTGCTCATAGCAAGAGTATTTGTTATTTTTGGTGAGGGGGAGTGCAGGCAACTCAGGGGTCCATAGCAGGCAGGATAGGTAGGCAAAATAGGAGGAGTACACCCCAGGGAAAACTACGCAATGGGCTAGATGCGTAACAGTATGGATGGATTAACAATAAGGTGCTGCCTTTGATTAAGGTGCTTTCTTTTTCAGACTGGATGAAAAGGCAAGACCTGACTATCTGCTATTCACAAAAAGGATACTCTTAATACAAAGATAAATTTAGAGTAAAAGGGAGTGAAAAGAAGAAGAAAGTTGATTTCATAATAATACAAGGATTAATGCATCAAGAAGACAAGAATATGAAACATATACCACCTAGTAACAGAGCTTTAAAAGACCCAAGGCAAAAAATTCAAAGCTAAAGGGAGAAACAAGCCACAGTCATAGCTAAAGATTTTAATATCATTTTCTAGTAAATGGTATAACCAGTAAAGATATAAAAGATTTTAAAAACACTGTTGACCAATTTGACCTAATTAATATTTGATAGAACACTGTGTAACTGTATAATACACATTTTTTCAAGAGCACATTCTGTGGTTACCAAGATATACCAGATGCTGAAACATTAAAACAGACTCTGACCACAATGGTATTAACTCAAAGTTCAGAACAAGATATTTAGGAAATCTCAAGTACTTAGACATAAACAATACATATCTAATTAGCTCAGAAGTCAGAAAAGAAAAATCACACGATGAATTTGGAAATATTTTGAACTGAATCATAATTAAAAACACAGCATATCAAACTATGCCAGATATAGGCAAAGGGGGGCTTAGAGGGAAGCTTAATGCTTTAAATCTCTTTATTAGAAAAGAAAATAGGTGTAAAACCAATGACATAAACTTCTAGATCTAAGCATTTCAGAATCTAGAAAAAGCAGAGTAAATTAAACTTGAAGAAAGCAAAAGAAAGGAAATAATAAAACATTAGAGTATAAAGCAATGAAAAAGAAAAGAAACAGAAAAACAAACTCATTAAGAAAGGTAAGTCACAAATTGGAAAAATAAAGCTTTAATGCATGTATTTGACAAAGGGCTCATTTATGTATAATGAGAATGTATAATAAACTTCTTCATTTATGTATAATGAGAATGTATAATAAACTTTTATAAATCAATAATAAGACCAAAAATTCAATTTTTAAAATAGGCAAAAGAAGAGATACAAATGGTCAACAACTATGGAGAAAGGTGTTTGAAATAGCACTACTCATGAAAGAAAAGCAGATGATCCAGTGCCACATGCAAAATAACCAAATCATCTATCTTTCAAAAGACTGACAATGCCAAATGCTGGTAAGGATGTGGAGCAGCTGGAACTCTAATGTATACTGGCAGAAGTGTAAAAGGGTATAACCACTCTGGAGAACTTCTTGGTAGTTTCTTATAAAGTTAAAACAAACATCAACCATATGACCTATTTACCCAGGTCAAATGAAGATTGGTACAAGAATATTCACAGTACCTTTATTCATAATAGCCCAAAACACTGATGTCTGCCTTGTCAGCTCAGCAAGACTGCTGCTCCCTGGCTTACGTCCCACTTCCCTGTGCCGTGGATGGAAAGTGTCTCTAGGCTGATATCCAGGGGAGTGTGGAGCTCACTTCAGTTTTCCTGTTCTCAAAGTTTGTAGCCCTATGCTGTAGTCCAAAGCCCAAAATAGCCCAAAATAGTTTCCAAATGGGAGAAGAGTTTGATGAAAGCACTGCAGATGACAGAAACTGTAAGTCTGTTAGCCTGGATGGAGACAAACTTATTCATTCATGTATAGAAACAGGATGGCCAAGAAACAAATTTTGTAAGAGAAATTAAGGATGGAAACATGGTTATGACCCTTAGTTTTGGTCATGTGGTTGCTGTTTGCCACTATGAGAAAGTGTAAGGAAGAAAACACTTTCTGGTCTGGAGATGGAGAACCTTCAATTTTTCTGTTTACTCAAGTCTCAGTGCTAACCTGCTATTACAGCACAGCTGATCACTAGTTAGAAGGTTTTCCTTGGGGAGGAGGTGGAAAATGGTGATTTAAAAACTTGTTACTCTGCTCAGCGCCTGTAACTCACTGAGTAGGGCACCAGCTACATACACCAAAGCTGGTGAGTTCGAGCCCAGCCTGGGCCTGCTAAACAACAATGACAACTACAACCAAAAAACAGCCAGGCGTT